CGAGTCTACGAAATCAACAGCGAAGCACAACACATCTATATTTCAAAGACATTCACATATATCTAATTACAAGTCCCAAAATAATTGATAAGCAATTTCATTTTAAAACCTAGTTGTGTAGTGATTAGGGTTAAGAATAATATGCACATCGTCTATTCTACCCTTTTTTATGGTAATACAATTAGTGTACCATTGTCTACCATTTCATGAAGTGATATCCCCTTGTGTACACTGCTGTTTGTCCCAGGATAAGGACATCGTACGAAATATAAACATACATGATTCACGAAATAAATTACACTCTAAAGCTGTTCTTTTTAATGTGCTCGTCAATGTGGGGCGTGTTGGCAAAAACACAATCGCTAAATGTACTCTTCATATTATCTCTATTAAGCTTTGGTTATTAAATGTACAATTTACCTACTTCTGAGAAAATGAGAGCCAAAGTTATTCACAGCGACATTAGATGTTTAGTGATTGGAGAAACATTAACCATCTCACATTTCCTGGTGACAAAGTCATTATCATCCAATAGTCATGACCTACAATAAATGCAAAAAAATTACTTCATACAGAAGGCTGCAAAGTTGCGATCAGAATAGATAACATAAATGTATTGTACAAGTTAATTAACAATTGGAGATATCTCGCAAAGCACAACTGAAAAACAATAGAATATCTACTCCTCGCAGTTATTGAAGGCAGCTCGGGTCAGTTATACAATAAAGGGATCAAGAGCAATTTATAATGAATTTAGTAAGCTTAATTTTACCATTACCATTGTGCCTACATAAAAAAAGTTTTAATAATTGCATATTTAATTTCATATGCATCAGAAACATGGATTTTGATAAAGAAATGTGTTAAACTAAAGTAAGTAAAGAAGCATTCCTCCAAGAACTTACATGGTTGGATATAAAGTACAGTAATTTATGTTGAGAAAAGTGGAGGCAGGACGTGTCGCTCGAAAAAACGATGCCACGTTGGATGAGGTATAACTACTGAGCAGCAGAGAGCGAGAGATGAAATCAGCCCAAATGCAGGTGCTAAGTGGACTGTGACATCACAGGACCATGCGATGTTGACGGTGGCTTGGGTAGATGTTTATCCAGCAGTAGTTTCAGCATGGTTGATGACTGGTTGACGAGACTGGTGATTGTATGGCAGCCGAGCGTGAACACCAAAGTGGAAGACCACCTTTGAGATGGCATCGCAGACTTGACGCATGGTGGCATCGTGGGGAGGCTGTCATCCAGCAGTGGACTGAAAACAAGTAAACCCGTAAAAACAAAGTTTTTCACTATAAATCCTTTATATGCGTGGCATCAGGGCGGCTAGAGTCCCCTCGTCCTCTGGCTTGAGATGGCTGCCACCTATGTGTCAGATGATTGTCTGGCAGCATTAAACAATTGGTAATTAAATATTTTTAAAAAAATTCCCTAAACAGTGTAAAATTTTGGATTTTTTTTCACGAAAATGCATTGTCACGCACAACGAGTCTGTGTGCAAAATGTCAGCTCGATTGGATCACGGGAAGTGGGTTAAAAAACGACCGAAAGATTTGCACGGTCCTAAGCAAGCAAGCAAACTTAATATAAAGGATTTAAAAAAGCCTGCACATGTACATATATATTTATTGGTACACTATACATAACGCAGTATACAAGCATGGCTTGCGCACGTACATTTCGCACGTAATATAAGGGAATATAGTGACACAAGCATATATTTAAACTGTTTTAATCTTAATACACGATGGTGATAATTGTATGTATAAAATCAGGCATCGATTGCATTCTTACAGTTATCATACATGGATTGAACCATGTGTTAAATTCCTTATTTACAATTCATTCCATTAAATTATGTAAATTGCATTTAGCAGCCAAATGGAACAAAGCAATGGATATGACAAAACACTGACAAACGCCAATGTGACGGTAAAAAAGTAAATAAAATCAAAACCCTGGATTGTGGAATCTCTGCAGCGAGGAGGGATTAATCATCAGGTTCATAATTGTTTTTGGTTGACAAAAGAAAAAACAGCGATAGCCGAACTGTAAATGAGCATTACCGCAGGCGTTCATAAGATGACGGAACGCTACCGCCACCTACTGCTAGTACAATCTTAGCACATGGAGAGTAAATTACACGGTGATCAGAATATGTATAAACTTTAATCTAGATTTGAAGCTTTCGTGACTGCAGGAATCCATACTCTTTGGTTCTTTCGGTAAAGTCACGTAGGTATAAAATAAAATAAATCACGACGTTTCGATTGCAACACAAGCAATCATCAGGTGGGAAAAACCACAGCAAGAAAAACTTTTTTTGCTGATGTGGGAGTGAAAGATGCCGTGGTAAGAGGTTATATAGGTAAGAAAGGGGGGAGGGGCAAGGGGGGAGAGGGAGGAGGGGGGATAAGGGGAGCGCTGCGTGGACGCTCGGCCTCGGAGAGAGAAGTGAGGCTGGGGGGGGGGGGGAAGTGGGGGGGGTAAGTCGGGGGGGGGGTAAGTTGGGGGGGGGGGGGGGGAAGTGGGGGGGGAGTGGGCGGGGCTGGAAGTGGGAGGCCGAGAGAGCAAGGGATGCGGGGGGGAGATAACTCGGAATAAGTAATATTTAAAAATACTTTTTTTTAAACACGCTTTAATGAAATGTACCGTACTCGTAATGGCAGAACTCCACGACTCCAGGAAGTGGCCGCAAGGCTTGCCATAACGTAAGGGGCCGTGGTGATTTACAGGCAACGTGAGTTGAGCGTGGAAAATTAGACCCAAGCCGAAAGATAACATAAAAAAATAATGGTAAAAATATATTTTTTATTTTTTTGGATAGAATACAGTATTGTCATCAGTATGACATAAATATACCAAGTTTGCAGTCGATACCACATTGGGAAGTGGGTTAAAATTGAGTTACAAGATTTGAGGATACGACAACAACAGTGAGTTAAATAAAAGTGTGTTATAATAAATAAAAATAGACCAGTACCCGGCAGATATGAATGAAGACAACCACTACAAAGCAGTTAGGGTTTTACCTGGTTAATAACATCCTTCCAATGATTGCTCAATTTGTATCCATCTTCTCGGTTGAAGTTATGTCTGTGTTGATATATCTGGATGGCTCTCCCACTTCAGCGAAAAAAACCTTTTTTCTTGCTGTGGTTTTCCCACCTGATGATGATTGCTTGTGTTGCAATCGAAACTTCGTGATTTATTTTATTTTATACCTACGTGACTTTACCGAAAGAACCAAAGAGTATGTATAAACTTTTTTTATTTTATTAGTTAATTTTTCAGAAGCGACTTGGCCGCAGATGACAGCCCAACGAATTGGCTTATCGCGTGGAAATGCATAGCAGCCAAATCATCTAAATTTCTAAACGCACATTTCTCAATGCGGACGACACTGGACTCTGCTGACGGTAACGCTGAAGCCCAATTACTTTAACAAAGTCAACGATCTCTCGAACCTGCGTCCTTTGCCGAACATTCTACGGGCACGTGTGTTCACACTAATGTCACTCAGTGCAATTCCCGGGCTGTGCACCACTTGCCAACTCTTTGGATAAGTTCCACTTTTCTTCACGAACGTTTACGGTTTTGCGAACTACAACGTCGTGAGTGGGTTCGTTTTCGTCTTGAACTGAACTTTATTGCGGCGCGATAAACCAAAGGGGCCGTCCATAAATGACGTCACGCACCTGGGGGGGTGGTCAGACATTTGTGACGATGTGTGACGAGGGGGGGGGGGGGTTTGAGAAATGTGACGTTACATCAAAATGCCCAACTTTAAATACATATAGACAACACGTTCTATTTAATTAAATACACTTTTTAATAAATGTTTTCTCCTACAACATCAGTAGCGCCACGTTAAATACGCACAACAATGACAATAGTTTAAAGCGATTTGAAGCATGATAATTGGTTTTTTACCCTTCTATCTGGCCACAAAACTGACATCTTTTTTTACAAGGAGTCATGTTTGCATAGACCACAATACCTGCAGTCATAATGCAAACAAAAAACATAACTCTGATAATGTGCACTGTCCTTGAAGTTGATTGGTCCACACCCGAGACAGCTTTCCTTAGAGCCTAGTCTCACATGGGTTGGACCAATGACGCCAAAAGGCGCACATGACTCCTTGTAAAAAGGTGTCAGTTTTGTTGCCAGATAGAAGGGTAAAAAACCAATTATCATATTTTTACTCCGAGCTCTCATACTCTGATGGTGTATTGTCTTTGAGTTGTGCGCCTTTTGGCGTCATCTGGTCCAACCCATGTGAGACTCGGCTCTAAGGGAAGCTGTCTCGGGTGTGGACCAATAAACTTCAAGGACAGTGCATACATTATCAGAGTTATGTTTTTTGTTTGCATTATGACTGCATGTATTGTGGTCTATGCAAACATGACTCCTTGTTGCCAGATAGAAGGCTAAAAAAATAATTATCATATTTTTTACTGGCAAATGAGGTTCCAGTGGTGTAAATGACTTGAAGCATGTTTTATATATTTTTTTGGTGGGGGAGGGCAGACAGAGCTTTGTGACGTCATATTAAAGGGGGGGGGGGTTGACTTTTTGTGACGCCGTGTGACGACGGGGGAGGAGGGGGGTCAAAAATCGTCCAAAATCGCGTGACGTCATTTATGGACGGCCCCAAAGACGTTGGTTGAGATTATTTCGTTCACCCCGTTCTTCCATGCCCACGTCACTCGACTCGATTCCTCGATTCCAGCATGCGCGCGACAAAAATCGGAATCGCGCAGCGCAATTTGCGCACCACGCAGACGGAATCGATTCCCCTCCTCGACACGCACGTGGATGTCGCGCGCATTGATATATATCTCTCTCAGCCGGTGACGCGTTTCGCCGTAAAGTAGGACCACCGGGTACACTTTCACTCCTGTACCTCGACCGCAGTATCGCTGCGCCTCACAACACAATCCCACGAGGAGCGACGCCACCGAAAAACGACGACGATCCGAATCGTCGGACAATACCGCGCGCGGCGCCGCCGCCTCGACCCGACTCTTTATTTATTTATTTGAAAGGCGTCCAACCTGCGCCCTCGTGACGCGCATGCGCAGTGCGAGTGGCTCCCAGAGTGCATTGCGCGCTCCTTTCTCCCCCGTCTGCGCTGCCGACATGGTGGGTCGCCTCGCCGCTCCTCCGCGCCGCACTCCATCACCCCCACACATTCCCTTCTCCCTTGCACACACACACACACACTCCGCCGTTTTACTGAACTTTAGCGATGTATCATCACCCGTGTTACGGTTCGCGCGTTTAGTTTTCTTTACGAGAATTGTCTCGGTGGTGTTGGGGACGGCGGGGTGCGGCGGCGGCCGCCATGTGTTGAGGCCTTGCTCGGGCTTCACTCCGGGGCCTCGTCTTCTACAGCGGCGGCGGCAGCGTGTTCGGCAGGGGCTCGATGCTAATGTCGAGGTCTGCTCGCCACGGCGAGATGGCTCAGACGAAAGAGAGAGTGTCTATTGTTTGCTATCGCTCAGTTGAAAGTGCAGAACGCAGCGGTTTACTGTGTAGGACGTGGTTTGGCTTGCAACTTACCTTGAGCAGCGATTGCCGAGTGTATCTTCGTTACTGCTTTTAACTTTCGCTTTGATATTAGTTGAGTTAAAGTTGATATGTAACTGCGAGGCCGGTTTTGACTACATTCAGAACGCTTTGCGCAATTTCAATCATAGTCCATACGCAACCGGCGTGACACGTAATCATAGACCGCTTCAGAAATATGCTACGCGTAATATACGTACGATATGCGTGGCAATGTGTAAAGTAAAGCAACACTATACACAGTGCTATAAAATATCAGACGGCACGTAGCATATCGCTAGCGCGCACTCGACACTACACGTACCATTTCCAATACCCCACACACTTAGAGCTACACAGAGTAGTAAACTAAAGCTGTACAATAACTACGATCCCTTTGCCTTACACTACACTGGTTACGACACTACACGTTAAAGTACGAGCTAAATCGCAGATTGTGATTAAATTAGTGAATTTAGACCAAACCGCGAACAGCCTTGTTAAGGGTTAAGACGAGACAAACCAAAGAATACGAGACGTTTCGACTGGGCTCGGCATCTCTCCCGGGGTTACTCGAACGAGTGCCCCTCTTCTCGGAAGTCGACTGGCTGCATGGTTGTACCGTACGTGCCGCCACTGGGAACGGGCACTGGCTCTGTTGAACTGGAATACTGCTCAGTGCCGACGGCTAAGGACGCACTTCACGAGGATGCCCCCTCTATCCATGGAATGTTTTGCTAAATTACTACGAATTAAAACTCACGAGACGTTTGAAACGTTGCCTTGATTTTAAAATAGTTGTTTCGCTAGCGTAGCGCTCGTGATCCAATGATGTGGGTGGGGATACTCTTTAGACCGTTCTTAATACTGCGTTGGTAAAACCTCCCCCACTCTTTAGCTTCCTCTTTTAAACGAAACTCCTCGAACTACCAAAGAAATGTAATCAATTCTGATTTGTTTTCAGAGGAACAGTTTGGCATGGCTGTCTTAGAGGAAAAAAACACTAAACCAATATCGAATGCGATTATGTGTAGCTGAATGTGCAGGTAATACGCATTTTACTTAATGTACTGCCGTCTCCGTGAGTCATGTTTGTGCCTCGGTCAGCTTTGTATACATGGTCGATGGTGGATGTGCTTTGGTGGTTTGTGTATACGCCTCCATACATATGAAATATCATGTACCTACCCAATCAAAGTTAAGTTCTCAATCTTGGGAAATTTAAGTCACCTGTTCGATTTATATCCAATTTGGGTTACACAGCTATGCGTATACTGGCTTGTTTCAAATGTGAACATCATTCTAAATTTGGTGGATAGAATTGTGACTGTCTTAGTGTTATGAGATATGAGATAGTAGCGAGGCTCCCGTTATTAAAAGTAAATTTATGGTAAAGTACAATTTAATCTCATTTCATGAATAGATACACTTGAGAACTGATAATACTGAAAATGATGTGTAGAAAATCTAGTAAATGATTGTTTGCTAAGATGGACTTTGTGACCAACATTTTAATATGGGAATATGCGAGTAAATTTGTATGCAAAAATGTGAGATTGGTAACGTAAGTGGCAATATTGTTTTATTGTGAATTTAGCTGACGTGCCTCTGTCCACATTCTCGTCCAGACTAAGAAGAGGAGGAACAACGGGCGTGCGAAGAAGGGCCGTGGCCATGTGCAGCCGGTGCGCTGCACGAATTGCGCACGCTGCGTGCCCAAGGATAAGGCGATCAAAAAGTTTGTCATCAGAAACATTGTGGAGGCTGCAGCTGTGCGTGACATCTCCGAGGCCAGCGTCTTTGAGTGTACGGGTCCTACGTTTTGTTTTTCACTACATATTTGCAGCATTCATTATCCAAAGCTTTAATTTTAGCGCTCCAGAAATGAATGTGACTTGAGTGCAATAAACCGGACTTTTTAAATCCTATATATTAAGTTCGCTTGCTTGCTTGCTTGCTTACGACCGTGCAAATCTTTCGGTCGTTTTTTAACCCACTTCCCGTGATCCAATCGAGCTGACATTTTCCACACAGACTCGTTGTGCGTGACAATTAATTTTCGTGAAAATTTTTTTCAAAAATGTTACACTGTTTAGGGAATTTTTTAAAAAATATTTAATTACCAATTGCTTAATGCTGGCAGACAATCATCTGACCCATAGGTAGCAGCCATCTCAAGCCAGAGGACGAGAGGACTCTAGCCGCCACGCATATAAAGGATTTAGAGTGAAAAACTTTGTTTTTACGGGTTAATTTTTGAGTTCATGACCTTGCATTGACAAGTGCTTCATTTAGAGCGAACCTTATCCAGTTATATCAAATGTTAATTGACAGGTTATGCAGAATATTTTTAAAACTATAAAATTGTATTAATTGTGGTGTGTCTTTTTACACAGCTTACGTGCTTCCCAAGCTGTATGCCAAGCTGCACTACTGTGTGAGCTGCGCCATCCATAGCAAGGTGGTGAGGAACAGGTCGAGAGAGGCACGCAAGGACCGCACGCCTCCACCAAGGTTCCGTCCTGCTGGGGTAGGTCACATTGGCACTTGAGCCTACTTTTTGCACGACATTTTGCAATACATTTCAGCCGTACACGATTTTTTGGGACAAAAATGTCACGATCCAGTTTTCACTCTGGAAAAAACATGCCATCTCGTTTTATTTGTATGCACAGTACAAACATCCAATATATATTACAAGTGCAAAACTATCAATGTTCTGTTGTGAGACTTTTATTCACTTTGTTTTTACAGGCCCAGGCTCCACGTGTGCCACCGCCTCCAAAGCCCGTGTAAACCAACGGAACGTTGTGGAAGCAAAAACCATGTTCAATAAACGTTGAAAGATCTGATTTTCCTGTCGTTCTCTTTTATTTGGCCAATGTATAATGTAGACAGTAATGCCATTAGCAACAACATTGAATCGTTAGTTTTGAAGGGAAAGGTTGTGTTTGCAAACAGGTTTTGACGGTTTTAGTACATTTTTAATGTAATGAAAGCTGCTTCAAAATTTGATGCATACTGACAGATAGTTGTGCACATTTACAAATTAGAAACGAGAATAAGGTGGACATGTTGAGCTTGGGTTATTTTCAATGCATGCCTACTTTTACCACAGTATAACCTTATGGTTGAACACATTTCAAAATTGAAATGCCATGTGATTGCAATTTTTTTCTGCTGGCAGCCGATGTGCAACATTCGATTATGCTTTAATATGGATTTCACAATGTAAGATGTTAAGTTTGTTAAAATGTTCGCAAAAGCTTTACTGCTCATTGTCAATTTGCATGAAACGGAGCAGGATCGGTAGCTCTGAACCATTGCTGCAAAGGTGCCTTTGCGTGCCCCGATATCCTTTCAAATGCATTGTAATCACTCAATGAGGTGGCAAAAAAGAGGCTGTTAAGCTGCAAACAGCAGGGGGCCAAGGACAACCCTGACATTGACCCCGCACGAGGGCTTGTTACCACTGCTCGAGACTCGCCACTGACTAAAACGGAGAGCAGGTGTGCAATGCATATGGCTGGGCATATAATGGAATCCAGGCAGATATTTGATTTCTGCTGGGTCTAGTATGAATTATTTCCTTGTTAAGATGCAGAGGGAAATATGTTCAGTGTCTTGATATTTTAGCTTGTCTGTTCAATATTCCAAAATATAGTACAATCCTACAAGTCGAAATCCCCGGTTAACAGGCATGTTTATAGAAATTTTTGCCGATGCAGCATACTCAATTGTGATTACACATAGCAGTCATCGCCCTTTGCTGGCAGACTAATGGCCGATTACAAGCCAAATGCTAAATCACCTTGTGCTCACGGACGGCTGCCACTGGGTTTGGTGTAAAGGATACTCTGAAAAACATGTGGGTAGGTAGCTGTAGGCTATTGCACATTGATGCCACAGCATCCTTAACTAATCGTGCACCTTATTAGCAACACTGCAAATTGTCTTACGAGCCCAATCTTAGAGGGGATGGTTGATTACAATTTCAACTAAATCAAAATGGTATTTCACATCTCAAAAGTAACATTCAGCTTTTCATGACAGGTACTGTAACATATCCTGGCAATGTGTGCAGATTCACGTGCATGGTGCAACTTAGGCCAACTGCATTGGAGGGCAGCAAACCTCAAATCTTCCAAGTGATGTGCATGAATATTGAGCATTCCAAGTTACCCGTTTATGGATTTGATATTTTAAGCGTTACAGTTTTGACCTAAGAAATACAGCTCAATCATTTGCATTTTTTTTACATTGGAGTGAATTTTTTTAATGGTGCATGTTGGCTATGGCCAGGAATGGAATAGAACTCCGCAGTGTGCTAGCCACTATATCACATGCTCCACAACTACATTTTTGTTCGGTGCACATTTAATTTACAAAATAAGAAATCATTATTTTTTCATGAATTTGCAAAAATTTTATCTGGATAATTTCACTTTTTACCTATTTATTTTTGAGTGTGGACACTGGTGGTTTTGAAACTTTTAGGTATGCCCCCCTCCAATTAAAACCATCGGTGCCCCCCCCCCCCCCTCAATTAGGCGATTTAATTTTATTTTGTCCCGACTGCTGACGTTCCCTGTGCACTTACAACATTTCTCCTGCACGGTATCCAAGAGCACATCTGCGTATCTCTAAAAGGCTTTTCGTGCCTCTGCTGAGTGGGGGCGCAACACACCACACCCGGAGGGTTGAGAACCACTACACTACCAATGAAATACTATTATTTTTCTAGCTACGTGACTTTACCGAAAGGCCCAAAGAGTATGTATACAAAAGTTAAGCTGCAGTGTCCATTCGGAACCAGCAGAGGGCGCAATTGTCCAAAGCGAAACCTATCGGATTTGCCTTTCATGGCATTTAGATATTGCTGCCCGTTGCAGGTCAATCATGTTGACGCTCATAGAATATTGGCACTGTACTTTGCTTGTGATCAAGTACAAACGATAATCCCATATACATAATACAGGGGCACATTTTTTGCTTCGTTGTACAGGGTGGTCCATATGACCTGTGACCCTCCAATTAATTGACCTAACATTTTTTTTCCTTTAAAATTAATTTGTTTTAAATTAACCTTACTTTACAATTTTATTTTGAGAATTAAATGATGGTACACGACACCTGTACCGCCCTGGACAGCAAATGATTTGAGTTTGAGGCGTTATTTTGGTGTGGGAGATACCAACAGGACTTGCACAGATCGCGTTACTCGTGGACACACCACATATCCTTAACATCCTAAGAACGAAACTTTGGATACATATCTGTGTTTCAGGTGAATAGTACATTGTCGTATGTAAAACAGTATCAGATATATACAATAGATTTTTTATAAACGTGACAAAACATTCAGAAAATAGGCAAATGTTCGACATCTTGCTCCCCACGGGGCCATGGGGGTGCCGCGAATTTTAGATTTCCCGGATTGGAGCGCAGATTTTTGGAGTATTTAGGGTATTTCACCATTCCCAGCTGCTCTCTAGGGTTAACCGACCACAGCAATTGCAGGTCATTCCCATCCCGACCTCATAAAAATATATTAAATGTTCCAAGAACTGCTGGGTGAAGGCCTCCACAAGCCATCGCCACCTGTGTCAGTGATTGTCATCACTCGGAGCACTCCCAACCTTGACAGCCACTCTGTCATTATTCTCGACCACCAGCCATCATCCCTTCACGTGATGTTCTATCCAATTCCACTTTTCATAACACTTAAAAGTCTGTCTTTAACCTCTTGTATTTTCCCTAATCCATATGTTCCTGTCTTACGAATTCCAAGCATGTGCCTTTCTCTGTTTCTTGACGTCATTTTTTTTACATTCTAATTTCTGAACCATGTATCATAATGAGTAATACGCACTGACAAAACACTGGCGTGTTGTCTATCATTAAAAGTTGAGCATTCCACAAACACTATAACTCTCTAAGCCTCTTACATTTTTATGTTAGTTTGCCTTTAATACCGATCCGAGGTATACATATTTTCCTGTGTGCTGAAATCAGTCTGCAAACTTGTACATAAATGTTTTTTGTTTCCCATTTATACTGAGCCAAATGTGGCAGCATTCATTACCGAGTTATACAATTTATGGTATTGCAAAATTTGATGAGTTTGCAGAACATCTCGTGAAGTTGGTGTGTTTTTTAAATTTGTATTACTGATATTCCAATTAGATTATGCAGCAGACATTCTTAATGTTGCCTAGCTTTTGTGGACTATGTAAAGGCATTCGATTTCGTGGATATTGACACAAAGCAAGGCCTAAATTAATTATACTTAGACATAATTAATACCTTAAAAATGGAATAACTGCACGGAGATTGCATGATGTAAGTAGGAACATTAACAAAAGAGCATTCGGTAAAAGTGATGTTCTCAACAAAGTAATTCACAGCAACATTGCTTTTCGAGTAAGAACACTATGCAATACGATATCAAAAAAAAAAGGCTTCACAAAGGTCATGTTTAAAATAAACCTCATATCTTTTTTAAAGTAGAGTACTGCCGTTAATTGCGACACATTTACCCAAATTTTCTTATTCTTAAGGGTCTGCTTATGTGCTAGTTTTCACGGGGGAAAATAGTTTGTGCAATCAATGTGGTTAAACGCAACATTGCATTGTGGCATTGCCAAATAATATTTTTTTGTACACTACCCTGCTTACTGGAATTACACATTACCATTGGAAATATATTAAACAAGACTTCCAAGTACTATTGGCTCAACGTGGATATCTTACCACGCGTTTCCACCCAGCTACATTATCTTTCACAGCGATGTGAAAGATAAATTATGTTTTTCATGTCAATTTTGAACGACCTCATCAATTTCTTGTCTTAACATCTCATTTTCTTCTGCACATTTCGAAGTCAAAAGTCCCACTCATAACTAAAATCGAGGTCTGATTACATTTTTGATGATAGTTGACCTATAGAAGGAAATTGCTCTAGAGAGCCCCTCTATTCGAATCGGTTTTTCCCTTTTTTTCTGGCAACAAAACTTAAACATTTACAAGGAATCACGTCTGCATTAACCACAATACTTGTAATCAGAATATGCAAACAAGAAACATATATGTTTCTTGTTTGCATACTCTGATAATATATGCATTGTCCTTGAAACTGATTGGTCCACACCAGACATTTCTTTTGAGCCTCGTATCAAACGGTGTTAGACCAGAGGACGCCAAAAGGCGTACAGCTCCTCTAGTTGGTATTTTCCTATTCGCCCACCGCATGGCCAGACAAAGGAAGAGATGGGAGTACCCATACTTTACCCCGCACACACCACCTGCTGATCAATTCACTGTGATCCATTTATACTGATGGGTGAATAAAGACAAGGGGATTTCAGAAACCTGCCCATAGTTTCAACTACCATGCGAGGAAATCGAACCAGCAACATCAGTATTGCAAAGCCAGTAGGCTGACCATTACTCAACAGCAGCATCCTTTCAAAATATAATTTATAAAAATATAAGGTTCACGCGATAATTTAACCTAATATTGGTGGAGAGGATGACAGCCTTCCCGTGGTCTCCACTGTTACATGCTTGTCACAAACTGCCATCAACCCAGCGATCGAACGCCCAAAACGGGCCTTCCGATCAGGATTGCAACACCAAAGGTCTTTTTCAGGGCCAAACTTACCGCAGCGTGGGTCCGTCACTACGTTTGTGCCATCTAAATGTCGAGGGCCTGTTAAAGCCCAAGTGCGACTTCCTTGGGACGTTTCCTCGAACTCCACGTGATCTACGTGCACCTGCTCCAAGAAACCCATACAGCCGCCGACGACGAGGAACTACACTTTATCCCATACGATTGTTTATTGACATAGAC